GACTTAGTGATCACTTTTTAAGGTATACAAATATTTAATCACTATTTCGTACACCTGAAACTAATATTGCATGCCAACTAAATTGAAAAAATGGTTAAAAAGAAATTGATCTATAAGTGTTGGAAAGCAACCAGAACTCTTCATAAATTTTTTTAAAAATATATTTTATTGATATTTTACAGAGAGGAGGAAGGGAGAGAGATAAGAGTTAGAAACGTCGATGACAGAGAAACATGGACCACCTGCCTCTTGCACACCCACCAGGGATGTGCCCGCAACCAATGTACATGCCCTTGACCAGAATCGAACCTGGGACCTTTCAGTCCGCAGACCGACGCTCTACCAGAGCCAAACCGGTTTCGGCTCTTCATAAATTTTAGTCAATAGCCCAAAACTGGTAATATGCCAGATGAAAATCAATAGAATGTACATATTATGCATATAAGGTATACAATGAAATTCTACTCTGCAACAAAATGAACTGCTACCCACAATTATAACAATCTCAAAAACATGTTGAAAGCAGATAGACACAAAAACTATATTCATGTAGGACTTAAATTAATTCCTTTTCCATGTGGTTAGTTCCATGCAACTGGCTATAACCCAAAGGCAATACCCTATTTTAGTTGCTAGGTAAATTCGTATATTAGGAACCACAAAATGGAAGCTGCCCGTGGCCTGGCCCATGTCACAAATCTAAGCCCAAGTCAGCCTATATTTATATGAAATCTTAACATACACCAATCACAATCCTCCAACTCACTAAGTTGTTTTGGCATTAATATCAGAGGTCAGATGTGTATGTAAATGGCAGAGAAAATTGTGAATACAGAAACCTATTGTGTTGGTTTAACAGCAATGCTGAAAGGACTTTAGTCTAAAGTAGATTCCATGTCTACTGAGTTTCCATACCAATTTTCCCAAGAATTAAGAAAAATTTAAAGAATTACAGTATCTTTGCTATTTTAGCTCCTAATTTGTTACTGCCCCCCATTTCATTTCAAGGTAAGGATTAAATGAAACCATACAAATTACCTTGATGCCTACACAGAGCTCACTCCCCAAAGAAACCAAGTCCAGTGTCAGCAATAGGCCACCTCAGTGACTATGTTCCTTAATAACTACTCAAGTGCCAACAGTGGGTGAGAACTTTCTGGGAAAGGGGCCAGGTTAATGTCATATTTAAAATTAAAGGTCACAGTTCAATTCCTAGTCAAACAACATGCAGGGGTTGCAGGCTTGATCCCCAGTAGAGGATGGGGGTTTGCAGGAGGCAGCCAATGATTCTCATCATTGAGGGCTCGCTCCCTTCCTCTCAGAAAAAGTCTAAATTCCTTATTGCAAATAAAAGCCCAGGACCACAAAAATGCATATTAAGTTTTATTAAGTTTCAAATACAAAACATTCCAAAAAGAGAAGTGATCTATAATACCTATGTTCTATATTCAAACAAACAAGGAAATCATTCATTTTGTGTGTGTGTGTGTGTGTGTGTGTGTGTTTACAGCCAGTATAAAGCCATAAATATCAAAACCAATTCTTTCCACAAGAGCAGAATAAGTCTGCTGCGTCAGTAAACTACTTGCCAAATGGCTATCTTGGTCATTTAAGCATACTTCCTAACTTGAATTTAGTACTGATATTTACTATAATTAATCTCAATGTTCTACACTATCTTCAAGATATCTAAATAAAATCTCAGGACACAAAAGCATAAACTCAAGTAATTTAAGATTACAGGATTGAGGAAGACAGCTATATAAGTGCAACAGCCATTTAAAATTTGGCCAATACCCTCATGGTCTGTGATTAAGAGCCTGTCAAATGAGGGTTACACCTTTTTTAATTATTTCCCACAATCACAAATGTTGATCATGATAGTACTGCCATTTTACTATGCAAAAATTCTTGAGTTGTTTTTTCTAACCCAACAACTTAACTGTTTCCTTTGAGAATAGTAGATTTTATATTATTGGCTCTGATCTCCAACATAATGAAGCTTTATTCAGATTTTTGTTTCCAAGATAAAGGAGGTGGAGGTAACATAGCCTAACAAAAATACAGTTTAAAAGCCAATTTTGTTTCCAGTTTTTAAATGTGCTTTCAATCATTTCAGCCAAGTTCCCAGATATTACTCTTTCCTTTAGTTATTTTTTTACTTAGTCCCAGTTCTGGATAATAAACAGCAGAGTGTTTCACTTGCTGAAAAACAGATAGAGCTACCGCTTATGCCTTTCATTTTTTAAATTAACTTTCTGACATTAATAATTAGGAAGTTCTAAATTAAAGTTGTTCCTAATGACTTTGGCTAAACAATGAAAGCCAAAGCTATAAAATCTACATAAAGAACCAAAGAGTTCCTCACTACCTCCACTTACCAATTTCCTTAATTGCTCCCCTTTCTCCATCTGTCAATTATTACTTAAGTATCTACCACTCCCTAGTTAAAGAATGTGTCCAACAGGAACCCTTGAAGGCAAAAAATCTATTGCTTGCACCAAACCAATTCTGATGAGCACTGCTTATGCAACTGTTGTGCCTTATGCACATTCTGCATTCTTCTGCTTCAACTCTGCAAAACGAAAAGCATGTGATCAGGTCAATTTCTCTCCCTTACCTATTCTTTAAATAGATGCTATTTTGTTGCTTTAACTGGCAACAATGCATTTGCTTTCAATTGTAAACTCTAAAAGCAACCATAAATACCCAGTACAATTCCTCTAAGCATCAATTTAGTGTAATCAAGACTATATAACTATCATTAAACCAATAAAATTGTTTTTCAAACTGGGAACTTAGCAGCTGCATCTAGTCTCCTTTATTGAATTTGTACTGTGTGTTGTAGTCAATCAGGTACTGATTATAGGAAGCTTGCTCATTTGCCAAAACATAAGCTATACATCTCCAGTCAACTGCTTATGCAGAAATAGCACTACCACATTTTATACACTGAAAAACAGCAAGGTGTTGCATGACTGAGCCATAATGGAACTATACCTGTGTTTAAAATACGGTTAACTTCACCCTACAGTCAGTTAACATGTAAGGTGTTGCACATTACAGCATTTAACTTGATCCCTTTACAATGTACCAATACCCTAACCATGCAAAGTGGCAAAGCTTGTCTATAAACCTGTAAGAAGCTATTATGCTTTTGAAACTTACCTCAGCGTTTGATTTCTCTTGCTGCCAACTTGTCAGCTTTACCTAGTGTGAATAAATCAGCATTCCGTGACCAAAATCCTCAACCTGTAAAAATTAAATAGGTAGTTATCTCTAGTCAGAAATGCTTCAAAACTTGCCTATAACTTACTGCCCCCTTTGCCAGAAAGAAAAGGCAAGTTCAGACTTGCAGCTTAAGGTATTTCATGGCCTACTATTTCTCTCAAGTGGTGGAAGATTCACTGGCTTGGGATGGACTGGAATGGCTTAAATGGTTAAGTTGCATGGCTTATGGATTCTCATCCTGTTCCAATGGTGCACTGCCATGTTAAATCCATAAGTTGAACGGACAAAACTTATTTGAAGGAATATGTGCAGTACAAGGATTTTTAGTTGGAGGTCTTCAAGTTTACTATATTCAAGAGCATCTTTTTCAACTTCGTGGCTGGACCTGGGTCATGCTGCCTCAGGTTTTGCTTTTTAAAGACCACTTCCAAATAGATTTTCTCCATACAGTGTAGTTTCACAGAAAAACAAGTCAGGCATCCAACTAAATGTCAAGTTTGCAATGGCTTACAGGGGTAGGGAGAGGGGCACCCCAAACTTAAGCCATTTCCTATATTGACTAAAAATCTAATTTAAAAAAAGTCAAAATATGTGAAGCATGTTTAAAGGTCTTCATCAAAAACTTAAAAAGTTACCCCCTCCCAAGCCCCAGGTGGCTATTGGTAAACAGCTGTACTAAAGGCCTTTAAGTGTCATACATGCTTAAAAAAAAAAAATCCAAGAAGTTGAATTTGGAGAACTTCTAATGCTATAGAACACTTTGCTTTTCCAAAAGTTTTTTTTTAATCTAGAAAGCATTTCCACTGCCATGAGGTACAGTATGTTTCACTGTACTATGAGGAAGTGTTCAATTTCGACTTAGACGGAAAAACTAGTTTGCTTTGCTTACCATCTTTGCTGTTTCACAGGCATTTGATGCTTTAAATCTGATGTGGAATGCTGATAGATTCACTTTTTAGAAGTCATAAGCCTTTGAGAAGTTGGAGATAACTTCATTGCTTATCTATTTTCTCCTTTGCAATCAAGCTGTTCCTTAAAAGTGAGACACTACAGAGTTGCAAAAATTTGAAACAGTAAGAGCAAGCACCGTTTGCAGCTTCATGGTTGGTTTTGGCCAAACTTTTTATTTAGTATTCTGTAGATGCTTAACACACACTTAAAATGATCTTATTGGGGGAGGGGGAGGGGAGGTTCTTGTAGATTCCCAAGGAAATGTCAGAAAGACAAAATATGGCCAGCACTGTTTTGGGTTTACTGGGTGAATAGCACTTCCTTTTACATAAGCATCTGATCTCAAGTTTTTCATACTGGTAACATTTGAGATTTCAGTTTGAAGACTGTAATGATATCCTAAGAGTAGCATACCCCAACCACCCTCTAATAGCTAGCTTATTTGTATAGGCAGAGGGATTCATCTGTCCATTTTAGATGGCTAAATGTTTGTAGATCTTAGAATTGCTTCTCATTAACTGGGGAAAAAATTAGAAAGTGGCCTTTGGGACACTTTTACTTGGAAAATGACACCACTAGTACACAAGTCAAGCCTTAACACATTTAACATTTGCTTGTTGAAAGCAATGTCCTAAGATCAAACATGTTTTACTTTTCTCCTCACAAGAACATAAAAATCATGAAAGGGGAACTTAACAGGAAATTTGAAAAAATGTAACATAATTTTTCCTTTTAGTAGTTCTTGGGTAGTTATGACAGAATAGGTTCCACTTTCTGTTTGTTTCTTTGAACAGGGATTTTGGTCCAAAGTTTTGTTTTTAATATCTGCTTCTGCCTCCCCCTCTATCAGATCGGCTTCCTCCACGGCCACCACCCCTGGGTGCTCCGCGGCTTGAACTGCTGTAGGAATCACGTGGAGGAGGGTACCCCCTTTCCATAGAAGGGGGAAGCCCTCTTTCTTGTCTGCCAACCCGATCACGACCACTTGAGTAGAGATCACTTCGGCTGCTTGAGTAACTGTCTCGACTTCCACCATATCCGTCACGTGAGCTGCTGTAATCATCATAGCGACTGCTTCCACCATAAGATGGCGGGGGCCCTCGTGTAGGTGGAGCACTACGTGAGTTACCTGCAGGGTCAATGGTCAGGTAATATGGCAACACTATAAATTGTATATATACAACATTTAAATCTGAATTTACAGAATTCCTGTATTAAACTTTTACTTTCTCAACTGGGAGGTTTTAAACTCTGCCATTGCTGGCCATTAACAGGGATTTGCTCATTTGCTGAGATATGGAAATGGATGGGTTTTAATGTTTGTTTGAAAAGATTGAAGACGGTGTGTATTTCAAGAGGATATTCCAGACAGCTTGTTATTTTATAGTAGACACTCAGCCACTTTCCAGTGATAAGTTGCAATTTTGAACTGTAGACTTTCCTTCATATTGGAATGGTAAACATTTGTTGTTGTTAATAAAATTTTTAAATTGTATTTGCACTGTTGGGGGAAAACACATAAGGCTGCCAATTTAAGCAAGCAAAATCCCCCTCCAAAGCAAGCAAACAGCCTCAAAGAAAAAAAACTTATAGAAAAAAACAACAACAACAACAACAAAAGCCCCTCACAAAACTAGGAAAAGCCCAGCTGATAGTTATTCCCTTAAAAGCAAGCAAACATCCCTTTAAAAGCAAGCACCACACAGCCTAGTAAATTGGCTCATGAACCTAAAAACTCAAGCTGGTGATATACAAAGACACTAAACCAGTATCTTACCATAACTGTCATATGAATCCCTGTAGGAACCACTTGGATGATCTGAATAGTCACGATCACGACCATAGCCATCTCTATCACTAAAGAGAAAAACTTGTAAGCCACAGAGCATCAACCTTTACATTTTACGTCAAATTCACGGAAGCAGAATCACTTACCTATAACCTCTTGACGGATAGTCATCACGTGAACTGGAATGACCATAATCACGATAAGTATAATCTCTTGGTGGTGGAGCATAGTCTCTTGTATCACGAGAGCTGGGGTAGTCTCTACTCGAGTAGCTACCAAAACAAAAATAACTTGTTTGATGCTTTGGATAAGCTTTCCCTTCAAAACAAAACATTTGTAAGAGGGGACCGTTACATTTTCCGGTTACCTGTCCTTTGTCGAATATCCATCATCTCTTGGTGACAAATAAACATCTCTACGGGAAGGCAGGGGTTCCCTTCGAGGTGGGCCTCCATAACTATCTCTTCCACGTGATACAGGAGCTTAAAGAAAAAGTATTATTAAAATATACTCAAAGACAGAAAATGAAATGTGAATTTATAGTCAAGCAATGAAAAATTGTGATTCAATGACATATGACCTAGAACTATATATTTTGTTCTCCAAAATTTTCTATTCACACCTAAATTCTTTTTAATGCATATTTACTGCATGTACCTGGATCACCTGGGGTCCATAAGTCAGTTTTAAATATAATTTTTTATAATTTTTTCAGTGGGATAGGTGGTCATAAATAGAAACTTACCTCTTCCTCCCATTCCACTGCTGCTGCGAACTGGTCCTGAAGGAGCAGATCTTTTAGGAGGAGGACCCCCACTTCTCGGGGGTGGTCCCCTTTTTACTGGAAGTGGTCCCCTGGAAGAACTCATGTTAAAATTCATGGAATAGCCTCCATCATCTACATTAGGATAGAAAAGAAAAATGTTAATATTCACAAGAATCCAGAAAAGGCTAAACAAGTTCTTTGCTTCATGGAGAATATTTTAGTTGGGGCATCTTGCTTCAGTTTTCACACATACAAGACTTGATCATGTGCCCAGCCTATGTGACTCAGTGGGGGACGTGCAGGAGGCAGCTATCTCTCTCTCCATCCTCTCTGAAATAAAAATATATTTTTAAGAAAATATGAGGCCCTAACAGGTTTGGCTCAGTGGATAGAGCAGTCAGCCTGCAGACTCAAGGATTCCAGGTTCAATTCCGGTTAAGGGCATGTACTTTGGTTTCAGGCACATCCCCAGTAGGGGGTGTGCAGGAGGCAGCTGATTGATGTTTCTCTCTTCACCAATGTTTCTAACTCTCCCTTCTATTTTGTAAAAAAAAAAAATCAATAATTTTTTTAAAATGAGGAGGATTAACAACAAAGAAAATACTGAGCATGAAATCTATATAGGCTTAGTGAAATAAAAAAGGATAATCTTAAAAAAGCTATCTGATAAATTAATTTTCATATGCCAAATCAGGTAGGCCTATCAAAAATTCTTTTTGCAAGTGATTTTTCCTAGAGTGAACTATTTGGATAAATAGGGTATTTCCCATCATTTAAAAATGCTGTATGTAGCCGAAACCAGTTTGGCTCAATGGATAGAGCGTCAGCTTGGGGACTGAAGGGTCCCGGGTTCGATTCTGGTCAAGGGCATGTACTTTGGTTGCGGGCATATCCCCAGTAGGGGGTGTGCAAGAGGCAGCTGATTGATGATTCTCTCTTATCGATGTTTCTAACTCTCTCTCTCCCTTCCTCTCTACAAAACCAATAAAATATATTTTTTAAAAAATGCCGTATGTAATTTAGGATTTGATGCCCCATTTTTAAGTCACTATCACTTTGGTAGATAAACATGTGGTCTCAATTTCAAAAGCTGGAGCCCTTAAAGACTTATACAAAGCACACGTGTTATGGATTTGCAGTTCCTAACTGAAACACCAAGCATGAGGTAGATCCAAATTACCCATGTGCCCTCCACGTGGGGGAGGTCCCCTGGTCCCTCCACTTCCTCCTCTTCCGCCCCGAAGACCTCTTGGAGGTCCTCTGCTTCTTGGAGGTGGAGGTGGTCCACGTCTACCAGTTTCAAATGATGGCTTAGTGGCTTGTTCTACTTTGATGGCTTTTCCATCTAAGGACTAAATAATTAAGTGGTTAGTTACATGATCATTTAAAAAGAACTTGCACATCCACCGCACACGGACAACAATGGCCTTGAAAATTAATTAGCAAAGTTTACCGGTAATTACATCTAAGAAAAATAATACAGTCATGGTGTTACTTTTCTGTTTACTTAAAAGTGCTTCCTCATCTTTAAGATTGTTACTGATTTTGAGCCAAACAAGGTGGACCCAATCAAAAACTGGTGGATAAAATTTTAAAGCACGGCGGGCTATCAACTTGCCAAAACTAAAAACCAAATGGAAAAGCCGTTATTAAAGCAGCTTATAAATCCCAGATAAAATAAGCAGCACACACTACTCTGAACTGAAAGACTTGCTAAAGTATTACCTGTAACTTTGGCTATAAAATTACAAAGGGCCATGATCAGAGGGGCCAGGAAAGTTATACACCAAAAACAAAATTCAAGAGATGCCATGCCCTAAGGCCTGGTTGGCTATTTTATGCACCAGGGAACACTGTACTAGTATGCAGACAATCTCACCTTTCCATTCATATCCCTGGCTGCATCCTTAGCATCTGCTGGGCTTTCAAAGGTGACAAAAGCAAATCCTCTTGATTTGTTGGTTTCACGATCTTTCATCAAGAGTACTAAAAAGTCATTTTTGGGAGGGGGGAAGAAGAGGAAAATGTTATAAATGTTATTCTGGTTCAAATAAATTAACAAAAGTGAATCTTTAGAAAAGAAAGCTCAGAACTTCTTAGAGGACAAAATACATGATCATTTCCGACGATCATTGCAATTAAATTCATCATAGCTTCCCTTTTTAATTACAAGATAACCCTGCATATACTTTCAGGTAAACTCACCTTCCACTATCCGTCCATATTTGCCAAATACAGCTTCAAGGGCTTTCTCATTTGTTTCTGTATTGAGGCCACCAATAAAGAGCTTTCCTGGGCGATCAGCTTCAACCATGTTTCCCCCCTGGTTAAGAGTCTAGAGAGAAATAGATAGTGTGTCACTGGGAAAAGTTCCAAGTTTATCGGACACGTGAATTTATAGGAGTGAATTTCTTTGTTTTTCTAAAACCATTAATCCTTAATAACTAGACGCCAAAAGCGATCTCTTCTAAGCAGGAAACCCAAATTAAGTACTTAAGCCATAGCGCAGTTTCCATTAAACTGATTAAAAGGATCAAGTTAGTTTAGGCTTTTACCCTTAACCCACCCTGGCAGTTTTAATCTAGTAACGGCTACTCGACATTTACAACTTTGTTTTAATCTCAAAATTGTAGCCTTTTAAACAATTACATCCTAATTACCCTGAAGACTATCGACTCATTCAAGGTCACACACAGGCCAGACGCAAGTCCTTAACATCAAGCTCTCTTCGGGGGGTGGGGGGGGGACTCTGTGTTTCCTTATTAGGATCCCCAGCTAAACTTATTTAGAAATTTAAAGTTTGAGCCAAGTTACGCCCCCTGGTCTTCACCACTCCGTGGCCCGCCAAAAAGGTCAAGAACCTTAAAAAGTGTTAACATAGTTTCCTATTAAATAACGACTCGTGAAATCGTGCACCGGAACGTATAACATCCCCTGGCTGCAGCAGAACCCAATTAAAACCGTCACTAAAAAACCGCGTGGAACACACAAAATGGCGACACTTGGAATCAACCCAGAACTACCGGCACCGGTCAGAGGAGGAACTTTTGGCATCAGCAATGGCTGGGAAAATTCAAAGGGCTTCCTCTCCACGGCCCCACCAATGAACAGGGACCCCGCGAAAACCTGCACGTGCCTATCGGTAGCGCCGGCGCCATCCCCATGCGGGCACCGCGGCGGCGTGCTCTCCCGGTCCAGCTCAAACCCCGACCTCCGCCGCCACCCCGGCAGCGACAGTCAAACTTTCTCCAAGCATGCAACTCCACGGACCCGCTACATTTGTTTCCATGCCACACGCCACTGTATCTAAAGTAGGTCGGCACCTTTGCGTTCTTAAAATGGCGCCCGCCAGCCCCATCTCCCGGGAGATCATCTCTGATTCGAACGTGACAACTAAGTGCCAAGAAAGGGACCGAAGGGAAGGACACGCTTACCGGAGGGGTGACGACGGTTTCAAGCTCCTGCGAGCTCGCTGGCAGAGGCTTCCTAGCCGCTCAGCGTGAGGGACGGGCCGCCGGCTCCGAACACGGAAGGGAGAACCCGCAGGAACTACTGCGCAACGAGGGCGAACAAAGGAGACAGCAAACTTTATACTGCCCGGGAACGAGGCTGAAGGACCCGGATGAAAACGGAGCTTAGAATTTGAAACGCCGGGGAGAGGTGTGAGCAGTTCCCAGTCTCCCCATTGGCTGGGCTTTCTGCCCTTCATTCGTAGCCCCGCCCCATTTCCGGGCCCACAGCTCTGGGCCAGGGGTGGTTTCTAAACCGTTTTCCCAGCCCCCACCCTTGCGCCCTAAACCCGCGTTTTTGCTTGCCGCTGAAATGGTTTACTGGCTGCCTTTACTAAAGAACTGAAGTTAATTGCGTGTTCTAGTGTCCGGGGAGCGTTGCTAAACTTTAACATCAACTGGTTTAATTCTCAAAAGTAGCGGGATGAGGGTAGATACTTCTATGACAATTTTGCAGACATGGAAAACAAAGAAGTATAGATGATATTTTCCCCCAAAATGTATTTAACCAGGATTTTTAGTGTATGGGTAAAATTCTGATAAATATAGGGGTAGGGGGCACACAAAAAAGGCAGCAGATAAACTGATCACCTAAATGGTAGGCTCTGTGTGGCTATAATTCAACCCAGTACAAGTGAGACGAGGGCAGGGCACCTCCATGGGTAAGGCTGCCTGGTTTTCGAAGAAAAATACAGGACTCCCAGTTAAGTTTGAAGTTCAGATATTTTGTTTTCTGTTTAAGTATCATATACAAAAAAAAAAAAAAAACCACACGTATTTATTGTTTATCTGAACTTCAAATTTAACTGGGCAGTGTGTATTTTGTCTGCCATCGGAAGGGATTACAAAAATAAAAAATTTTCTAATCTCTTTAAAAACTAAAACAACAACAATTAAAGCGATTAATTGCATTTTGTGATTCTTGCCAGGGCTAAAGTAAACTAGGTGCTCTGATGGACAATATTTGGGAGACCAAATTTGATCTAGACATCAGGAAAGGTCTGTCTAAAGACGTGACTTTGGAGATCAGATATGAAGGGGTAAAAAGAAACTAGCCAAGGGAAAGCTGGGGGAAGAGCTTTTCTGGAAAAGAAAAGAGTACTAAAAGATTGCGGGGCTTAAGTGTGGAAGCGGGGACACCAATGGGATAGTGCAAACAGATCAGGAAAGAAAGTGTCTCAAATTAGGGTTGTAGCAGTAGATAAGGGGAGGAAACAATTGTTAGATATACCTGGCAGGTGGTATGGGCAGGATTTGCTAATGAAACAGAAGGGAAAGGACGGAGAGGAATTGAGGGGTAAGGAAGCCATTAGCAGGTGATGGCCATTTACCAAAATTGTTGCAAGGGAGAGAGACTGGGAAATCTGATACTCAGATCAGGACTAAATTGTTATTTTAGAAATGCTAATAAAACCCGTCTCAATGAATGAGGCCACCAAAAAGAGAACACAATGCAAAAAGAAGTCTCAAGAGCATGGAATAGAGTGCGGAATCTCTGTGGGAAGGCGGAAGTGGGGGTGGGAGGTAATCAACCAAGGAATTTGTATGCATATATGCTTGTCCCGTGGACACAGACAATGGGGCAGGAAGAGCCTGGGGCAGGGTAGGAGGTCAATAGGGGGAAGAAGGGAGACATACATAATACTTTCAACAATAAATAATTATTAAAAATAAAACAATACAACAAAAATAAATCTCAAAAAATTTAAGAAGTCCCAAGATCACATAATATGAAATACACATCTAGGATAGGCAAGAATAAACTCTTGTATGTGTGTGTACTCACAACCATAAAGATTTGGCTCTGGCAATAGTTGGAAATTGGCCAGGTTGGCAAAAACCACTTACGTGCCAGGTTCAGCCAGTAGAATCTGCACCTGATAACCTCCCATAAATGTCTCCCCTCTCCCAATCTTCTTTTATCTTTAGCTTCAGATGGTATTTAAGGTAACAACTTGAATCATGTTGGGGAATTACTCAGTTTCCTGCATCTCTCCCATGTATACAGGAGAAATACATGTCATTAAATGTGTTTTACTCATGTTAATCTGTCTTTTATTACAGGAGATTCTCAGACAAAAAAAAAAAAAAAACTAGAAACATAAAGGGAAAATTATTTCTTCTCCTGGACAAAGGCAATCTTTGGTCTACAAAGACCTATGTGATCTGACACTCTGCTACTTAAGAGCCTTATCTCTTACTACTCTTGATTCTCTCACTCAGTTTCAATCATACTGACCTACTTGATGTTCTTGGAATATAGTAGGTAACAGATATGCTTCAGTCTTCCCGGCATGCTCTTCCCCCAGGTATCCACACAACTCCCTCCTCTATCATTGCTTCAATTTCGCCTTTATCATGAGGCCAAATTTTTAAAAATATGTTTTTATTGATTTCAGAGAGAGGGAGAGATTGAAAATATCAATGATGACAGAGTCATTGATCAGTTACTTCCTGCACGCCCTCTACTGGGGATCAAGCCTGAAACCTAGGCATGTTCCCTGACCAAACTCAAACTGTGACTTCCTGGTTCATGGGTCAATGGTCAACCACTGAGCCACACCAGCTGGGTAGTTAGGCCAACTTTGATCAACCCTTTTAATTTTGCATGCTTCCCCTTCTACACCCATGACCCTCCTACTTATTATGCTCTATTTTTTTTTCAGATCATTTTCATCTTCAAACATACTTTATAATTTATTTGGTTCATTGTCTATCGCCCCTCACCAAAATGTTAGCTCCAGGTAGGCAGGAATTTTTGTGGTTTTGTTCACTGATGTATTTATTCCCAGCACCTAAAACTGGTGGCACATAATAGGCATTGAAAAAATATTTAACAAATGAGTAAATGGATGGATGGCCCTAAAAATAAGAATACAAATGCATCTACCCATTTTTCTTCTAATATCTACCTTTTACATTTAAATCTTTAAACTAGAATTTGTCTTGGATTAAAATGTGTACTATGAATCCAATTTTTTCTCTTTAAATGGCTAATTGTCTTGACACAATTTATTGAAAAATCCATTATTTTCCACATCCTCTTTGAAATATTTCTTAAAGCATACTTTGTTTCCTTTCTCTTTTTTTTAATATATTTTATTGATTTTTCATAGAGAGGAAGAGAGAGGGATAGAGAGTTAGAAACATTGATGAGAGAGAATCATCGATCAGCTGCCTCTTGCACACCCCCTACTGGGGATGTGCCCGCAACCAAGGTACATGCCCTTGACCAGAATCGAACCTGGGACCTTTCAGTCCGCAGGCCGACGCTCTATCCACTGAGCCAAACCGGTCTCGGCCTTTGTTTCCTTTCAATTGAATATTAAGTTGAGTTAAAACACATCATCTCCATTATGGAAAAAGATTCAGTAGAATTATATTTTCATTTGTTCAGCCAATTCCTATATAGATAATACAACCATATGTTCATTAAACCTGTTAACCAAGCGGGACGTATAAATACGTCAAACGTAAACAATATCGGGTACAGGTAGGACGTATGAATACGCTCTTGAAATATATGTTGCGCCCTGAAACGGGCGGGATGTATATTTCCGAACAACAAAAGTATTAGTCATCCATACATGTCTCGACATGAATTTAAGACATGGAGGGAATCAGTATAATTTCGCTATTGAGAGTGGTGGACGTGTTCTGGGTGAGCAGTGACAGGTACGTACTTACACTTACCTACCTATTTTCGTATTATATATTATTTACTTATATTTTTTATATCCCCAACCTTTATATAATACAAAAACATATAAAATTGATCCAATCATCAATAATTTGTCAGAAAAGT